AACAAAAGAATTTATTGAAGGCTCGATGTTTTTCCCTTAGTCCAGAGAAGAGACGGAGACGTCATAAGAAATCCTCGTCATCATCCCAAGAGGTTTCCGTAGAAGATAAACCCGTACCCCAACACCCGCCGACATTTGACTACCAGGCAGCAGCTCGTAGAATCATTGAAGCGATTCGCGAGGACGAACTCAAAAGAAAAGGAGCCTTGCTTTCCAAGTAAAGTAATTATAAAAATAATACACATAAATGATAACACACTTGAACGCATAAATGACGCAGGTTTTCAATAAAACTTCATTCGAATGCTTTCCGCAAACTGAATGAAAACTCACCTCAAAATATGAAAGATGCTTCGAAATTTTTGAAAAAACGAGGGCTCAGAGTTTCCATTTTTATTCAGATGGTTGGCTTCATTTTTCCGAAAATTTCGGATACCTACAGTTTGACCCGAATTAATTACAGTAGTTATAAAACAAACAAGAAATCTGTCGAAGATATGGAATAAAAAGTAGTCAATCCCCGCACAACGGACATCCAGCACAACGAATTTTTTGCGCAACAGACTGCCTCTGGAGGTAGTTTTCTCTCCTACGCAACAGACTAAATCCGCAAAAACGAATTATGCTTCTTAAAAATTGATGGTAAAAAGTAAAACTTTTCAATTTTTAATAATTGAATTCGCCTAACATATTTTTCACACAACAGACTAGTCTGTCGCACAAATTAAGTCCGTTGTGCAGGGGTTGACTGTAGTATACTTTTCCGACATCAACGAAGGCAGCTTTTATCCGCCTTTCTGGAAAGTAAAATTATATTTTCGAAATAGATGGCTTTTTTTATTGAGATACCAAAATAAGTTCATATAAAAAACTTCAATTTTCAACACCGATAGTTTCTGCCAGTAATTTGAAGAGAAGATTTTCGAAAACAATCTATGGAGTTATCCTGCACAAATTAAGTTTTCTCAATGTTAATGAAATAATTCTTTATAGCATCCATTCCGCAAAAGTATTTCTCCCCGCAGCACTTCAAAAGTTGGTTTCAGTTGAAAAAAAAAAACTTCATGAAACGATAAATTTCGATTCTCAGACTGAACCCAAATGACGCGGGAACCGTGTTGACTTCCACTGATGCCTTCAATCAAACTACTCAAATGCCACAGGACGAACCAGACTTTTTAGTGGTCGGCAAAGACACTGATGTCGTTACACCATCACTCGACAAGTTCATCGCCTCGAAACCACGAAAACTCACACGACGACGAAGGAAGAAACGCAGCGTTTCAGCCAATAATTCAAGTAAAATTCCTTGATGCATTTTATTTGCATTTCCCTCAAAAATTTGCGAGTGAAGATGCCTTCAAATTTTCATAAAATTTCATTTTTTCTAGTATCCATTCCGTAGAAAACTTTTTTCCCCTACAGCGTTTCAAAACCTGGTTTCAGCAATGAAAACGTAGTGTCGAAATTGAAAACAAAATCATAAATTAATTAAATTCTTATTTGCTGACTGAGCACACAACACATTATAAGATGCCGCATTAGAGTCTCATCAGTGCGACCTATGTTGAATCTCGAGTAGAATTCGGGTCAGCTTTTTGCGCATTTTAATTAGGCCTTGTTAAGTCTTAGAGAAAAAACACAGAAAAAGAGTTATTTTTTCAACTCTTCCCTTGTCACTCCTGAAATTCAGTCACAGTTTTTATTTCAAGTATAAAATTATTGACGTCACTCCGTGGTGATATTCCCAAGCTAAAGGAATAACATTTCGAATGTACTTTACGTCGCAACTTGAATTTCCGGAAACTAAATTTCAAGAAAAACCTCAATAACACTATCCCTGCTATTGTTTCATTCCTGAAATTTCGATGTCCACTGTCTACGAAGAAGCACAATCGAACCTCTTAGAAGAACCAGCAAAAACTCGAAGTAGAGAATTTTGAGTTAAAGAAATCAGCAATAATGTTCGAGGTTAGAAAGAATGACAGGAAATTGTAATTGCTGATATTCTGGGCCTTTTGATTGCTTCTTGAATGAATCGACACGACGATGAAGTTGAAGGCAAGGGTTACTTCGCCCAATTATTCTTCAACTTCCTTTCAGAATGAATCGTTACATTTCTATTGCTCTACAGCCTCTACTCTTTCCAGTGTGAAGAAAATAATAGCCGAAATGGCTCAGAAAGTTCGAGTTTTGCATGCTTGAGGAGGAAAGCATTTGAATTAGGGAAGTTTTTAATGTAGTGTTTCAAACAGGGGTTTGAAGGGAAAAAAATCTAAAAAAAAATTAGTCAATTAACTCATGGAGGTTTGAGTTTGTCAGGTTCAACTACTAAAGAATATCCAACCTGTGTCTGTGCAAAGGTCTCATTTTTCTTCGGAAATCGTCAGAAAAAAATTGTCAGCATCCTTAAATATGTGCCAAAAAATAGGACTCTGAATATGGTTCAATATATTTTTTTTTTGAATAATCATTCATGTCGAAAAAATTAAATAGCTTTCTTAAATTTGACACGCCAAAATCAGAGAACCCGAATTCTCAGTGATAATCCTCTTTAATTTCATCTTTGTGAGAATCTTGGAAGACCTTGGTTCTTACATTTCTTTCTGGGCCTTCAAGGCTGTATTTTATTGCTAAAATCCTGTTTGCTGTTTTGTTGTCCTTGAAGGACAGTTTTCCTAAATTGGCGAAATTCATACATTCCAACTCAAACATTTGTGTGTGTTGCTTCTCGACAATTTTGCGCGGAAAATCTCGGTTTTTCGGATTTACAAATTTCAAACGAATTACACCAACCTTGAAATAGGGTGATTTTTCACCCCGGTTGCAGCCCGACCAACTTCTCATGTTTTATGTCAAACATCTAAAACTTCAAAACTTGATAACCTTTATTTGTCAAGAAATTCTTCTTGAAAATTTACACGTTTAATCAATATAATCATCTTCATCGCATTCACTACAAGAAACTGAAGTGACGAGCAACACGGTGTCCAAACCGGTGACAGAACAAGACAAGACTGCAACAGCGTCGATGCAAAACTCGCAAGTGCCTTCAGCCATGGCAACGGTTAGTGAATCATCAGCTTTTGGCAGACAGGCGACACCAAGCAAGAGGCTGTCGGCAAATCCCAATCAACTCATGGGCAACACTTCGGATATTTTGGAAACCATGGTTGCACAAACTGTGGCCGCGGACGAGGCTGCTGCCGAAATTCTGGTTCCGAAGCGCAAACTTCGGTCCAAGAAAAGGGTGAGGAATAAATGCTTTTTCGGCCTCACTTGTAAAAAGAACAGCACGCACATTTTCTCACAATTTTAAATTCTGTAAATCCGTGCCCAGGAGTCTAGTTCTCAAATCAGCCGAAAAAAAGGGTTTCACCGTTTAGAAACCTTGCTCAACTTTCAGAGGTGTTGTCGAATCCTGTACTTATAGGGCTCGCATTGAAAAAATTGTCGAGTAAAGAATATTTCCTTATTTACCTGATTTGAAACAGATATTTATTCAATGATGTAGCGACACGCAAAACTCCTCCAGGAAAGCAAATATTATTTTACCTTCTTGTTTTCATTTGAAATTCACAACCGCCACCGACTAACAGGAATGGTAAATATTAATACGAAGGGTGGATTATAAATAAAAGGATTTAAATGAAGTACCAAACTAAAGTGACGTAATTCACGCATGAACCAATAATAATAATGAAGTCATATGTAAGAAAAAAATATTTAATAATAAATTGAAAAAATAATAATAAATGAAATAATAAAATAATAAAATAATAAAATAATGAAATAATAAAATAATGAAATAATAAAAATATTGATATGATAAAAATATTGAAAATAATGAATTTTAAAAAATCATAAAAATTGAAATTATAAAAATAATGATATATTATATGCATTGAAATAATTTACATAATCAAATGGAAACTAAATAATCATTGATAAAAATAAAATAATCAACAGATAATGCCCATAAGCGTAAAAATAATCGGGAATACTCTTTCGAATTCAAGTCATGGGGAACTTTTTCACTGGTTATCGGAAATAAAAAATACCACGATCCCTTTTGAAATCAAACCCTAGACTTTTTCAATCGAGTTTTCCAGCAGGACTCACATGGGGAAATTTCCCTCTAAATTTTATTAGATTCCTGCTGGATTACCGGGTTTGAGCACTGGACGATACGGTAGGCAAAAGTCGTCGGGAGTCAGTCCTGGCCCTCG